AAAAAAAAAAAAAAAAAAAAGAAGTCACATGGAATAAGGGCAAATAGGGCAGAGGAGTCACACAGCCTGGTTCCTGGAAGACTCTGGGACACCTCCTTGGGACATTGAGGGGGCAAATGAGAGCTCTCTGAGGTCTCCTCTAACTCTGACTCTGACACAGAAAGTGGCCTTGGGCCTGGCAGAGCCGAGAGCTCCATGGGGTAGGGGCAGGGAGGAGGAGGCTTGGTCCTGTGGGGACAGGGGCCAAGGTCCCGCGCACACCGCGACTCACTGCCTGGCAGCGCTGCTGCAGCTTCACTATCTGGGCCTGTAGCTGGGTGATCTCCTTCTGCTGCCGTTCATAGTTCTCCAGCCTGAGCACCAGCACCTCCGACAGCTCGGCCATTTGCTGGCTGGCCTCCGCTGGGGAGGAGTCAGGGAAAGGTCAGCCCTGGCTCCCCTGGACTTGGGAGGCAGTGGTGGCCCTCCCAGATGCCTCTGTCTTCCCCGAGCCCTCTGCTCTTGTGGAGCACCTGCAGGTTCCACAGCGCCTGGCATTCCTCACTCAGCTCTTCTTTTCACAAAATGTCTATGGACTGACACTGAGCAGGGCACTGGGGTGGGTGACCAGCAAGACCCGGTCCCAGCCCACACTGAGCTCAAGTCTAGCAGGGAGACAGTCAGGAAAAAGATAATGCATTATATGGGCTATGATGTGGCAAATGTCAAGGGCATACTGGGGGGGATAGTAATAGCTGTGGCATCCAACTCAGCTTTGCAAGATTCAGGAAGGAATCCTAGAAGAAGGAAACACCAAGCTCAGACCACAGGGCAAGTGAGGCTCGGCCAGGCAAAGAAGGGAAGATAGGGGCCCAAGCACAGTGCAAATGCCCAGAGGCAATCATAAGTCTCTGGGAGGGGGAGTGGCAGGGGCAGTGGGCAGGGCCCAGATCACAAAGGCCAGGTAAGGGGTTCAGATTTATCCTTTGGCCAATGGAAAGCTATTTTGGGGTTTGAGGCAGAGATGTGACATAGTCAGGTCTGGTTTTAGAAGACTCATTTGGGGCTGGCCGGCTAGGTCGGTTGGTTAGAGTGCAGTGTTATCACACCAAGGTCAAGGGTTCAGGTCCCCATACTGGCCAGCCACCCAAAAAAAAAAGAAAACTCATCTGTGCTATATGCAGCAGGACCTGGAAGGGCAGGAGTAGAGGCAGGAGAACAGTTAAGAGGTGTCCTAGGCAAGAGGCAACAGTGTGGGCAGGAAGAAAGAAACTTGAGCTATTCCCAGGAGGTAGGAGCCACAGAACTTGGGGATCAGCTCGCACTCCAGGGCCTGGGAACCACTGGGGCCATTCAGAGAGTTGTGGAATGCAGGAGGAGGCAGGTCAGGTTTGGGGTAGGGGAACAGCATGAGTTCAGCTGTTGCTGCTGTGAGTCTGTATGTCACCAGCTAGACTTGAGCTCCTGGGGACAACATTGTGCCTCACTCATCTTCATAAGCATACGGTGCCAGGCACAGCCACTGCCCAATACATGACTCTGAACTGCCCCAGCCCTGGGTACCTGGTCTCTGGCAGCTCATGGCTCCCTCCCGCCTGCCCCAAATAACAGGAGGAGACAGGCTTAGAGGAGACCCACAGCTTCTGTACAACTCTTCACAGTTTGCACAAAGCAATTCCTCAGTTGCAGCCTCTCCTGATCCTCGTAAACCCTGGAGAGATCAACAGCACTGAGATTATTAACCTCTATGCTAAAAATGAAGGTTCAGAGAGGTCAAGGAAGCTGCCCAAGCCTGCAAAGCTAGGAAGTGCCAGGGCTGGGACTTGGAACTGAGGTCTCTGGACTCCCACTCCTGAGTTCCCTCCACTCCTTGGGACAGCCCCCTACCCCAAGTTACAACATCACGTACAAAACTGCTCCACACATTCCAGAATGAGCATCTGCTCCTCATCCTCAAGGGTGTCGAATTGAGAGGCCTGGAGGGAGGGAGAGAAGAAGGGGCTGGGGAGTCAATGCCCCCTGCTGGTGGGCGTGCCCTCCTCCTCCATCCTCACCTCCTCTCTCAGCTGATCGTTCTCCTCCTCCAGCAGCCTCAGCTTTTCCTGCAGGGCTTCCAGCTGCGGGCAGCGATGCATCGGCCCCTCCTGAGGAGTCCTATGGGAGGCAGTAATGGGAGTCAGGGTGCAGGGAGTCTGGGAGTGGCAGTTCCCAGTTCCCAGCCCACCCAAGGGCTTCCCTCCCCCCTGCCAATAAGGATGGCAGTCTCAATCGTCCCAGCAACCCTGCTGGCCAGCGCATTGATGGTGTCCCTGTTTACAAATGAGGAAACTGAGGCCCAGAGGAGGGACTGCCCAGGTGCACAAGCAGCACACTCACAGCTTGGGGGCATCACAGGGATGATCACACAGCTGCTCCTCCTCTTCCTCCTCTTCTTCTTCCTCCTCCTCCTCAGAGTCTGAGTAGAGCTGAAGGAGGTCATCCCGCAGGTTCACCTGGTGTCTGAGGTGTAAAATCTGGCAGGGGGAGAGAGGAGCTGTGGGTCAGGGCGTGGGCAGGAGCAGGAGTGAGTCCTGGCATGACGGGCATGTAGACTGACCCCCTGCCCCTCCTCCCCACCCAGTTACCTCCTCCCTGGCTGAGCCCAGCATGGCTTCCAGCTTGCTGTTCTCCTCCATCAGAACGCTGTTCTGTTTCACCAGGGACTGGCCTATGCGAGCTGCTGTATTCAGGTCCCGCTCTCTCTACAGAGGGACCACCACCCATGAGGAATACTTTCTAGGTTTCCAGGATCTCCCAGACAAGTGGGAGAAGCTGGGGACACCCAGAGGTCACAAGGAGGCTCGGCCACTAGGAGAAAACCTCTCCATCCCCCACTTCCTGGGTACTAGACCAGAGTCGGCCATGAACCCACTGAAGGACCCGACTCAGTTTTCCCTTATGGAAAAAGAGCAGATCAGACCAGACAGGCTCTGAGAGCTCTTCCAGCCTGGACATCCCACATCTTCCTGCCTTCCACAAGAAGGACACCACCACCCCCACCCCAGCCCCCACAGCTTGGCCCCCAAAGAGGTAACTAGGCAGGAAATAGACAGGACCCTACCCCTACAGGACAGAATTAAAATGCAGGCCTGGCTAAGGCTTGGGGCTAGCCTGGGTAGGGGAGTCAGTACACACCTCCTCCAGCAAATATAACATCACTTTGATATCTTCTTGGGTGATCTTCTTGACAGGCGGTGGGTTGGGACACAGCGCTGGAAGAGGTGGGCGCGAAGAAAAGCCCAGGCCAGGTCAGGAAAAGGCAGACGTGCTACCCAGGCAACCCACCGTTTCCTTCTCTGTCCCAGTTCTCCCTCAACAAGACTGAGCTCCCTTCCCGTCCCCCAACATCTCTGCTCCCAGGGCCAGCTGGACTGGGCTCTTTCTTTTTTTTTTTTTTTCTGGAGGGCCTTGGTGAAGTAAAGGGATCACAGTCCTCCGGGCTGAGGAACTGGGCTCTCAGGACGCCTGGCTCCCTGGCAACTAGGAGAATGAAAGCAGCTGGGGCAAGTACAGCCGCCTGGAGGGGCAGCTTAGCCAGCTCATGGAGCCTCACGCGTCATCAATACAGACGCAGTCACCCACCCTGCACCTGTTGGCGTGTGGAGAGGATCGGAGGAAGGGACTTCCGGCACCAGAGAAGGGGGTGCCCGAGCCTCTAGACCCAAACCAGACCCTGAAGAGGATGGGAGGGAAGAAGGGGCAGAAGCTACGGCCCCGCCCACCCCCAGCTGCGGGTGTGCGGTGCGCCACCTTGACCCAGACGGCCAAGGAGTGGGCAAAACCTCTCCTGCGCCCGCACACCTCTCCAGGCACTGCGGTAGCCCTCCCGCAGCCCCCCGCCCCCCCCCCG